TTTAAATTGTAATTTCTTCAGATGTTTGATTCTAAGGCCTAGAATTTATTGTAAGGGAACATACTCTAAAGACTGAACATTCTTTTCCTGTTGCTACGTGTACCTGAAATTAGGCTGAATGGGACAGCATTCTTTTCCAGTAACCACAGTGTAGTCTCACCTGATAGCTTGTTTTGCTGTGAACTAGCCATGTTCCAATGACTGCTATGTCTGTCAGGGGTCTGACAACACATTCTACATTTGAATCTAAGCTGCAAAATGTTAATTGGCAGATGAGTGGTTACCTCACTAAAGCTATCAAGGTAAAATATTAAAACACTGGGCATGTGTAGGCCTGAAATTAAAAAAACTTAGCAGTTTTGTGAACTTGGATGGAACTCTGCTCAGTGTGAGTCTGGTGGAATGAAGAATAGTATCCAACAGGTAATGAAATGACCACTTTTCTTTGGTTCAAAGTGTTATTTAAAAATACAAGCTGTTTTTATGAATTAAGCTTAAATTAGTCAGAAAACTGCCTTTCTGGAATTTCACTATATGTGGAACACGGTAGGGTTTTGATACCAAAGTCTGTGCTTCCATGCTAATGTGGTTCCAATCCACTTTAATAGACTTTCCAAAAAAATATCTTGTGTGCGAGATGGTACCTGTTAGTCATGGCTAATGATTAATGAATTAGCAGCATTGGTGCCTCACTATTATAGATAGTATTCTCTATGCTGCTTAACATTGTGTTCCTCCCCCACACCTCTCAAAGCACAGTTACAGATGAGTCTGTCCTTTTGTGCTTCATGAGTGCTGCTTGTGTACAGAAATAAAGGGTTTGCATACAGAAATAGACACGTGTTAATCTTCGTCTAAAATCTTTATTACACTTCCCACTGAAGAAAGTAATTTGTGTTAAACTTTTCCTCAAAAGTCACCTTGACTGTAGCAGAATGTCTGTGTTGATACTATTTCAATTTGTCACTTGTTGTGTTCCTTTTGTCAGATAAAGCCGTTCGGTGTACTGCTCAAATTGTTTCAAGTGTGAGTGCCAGAACTGCTTTCCTGCTCCCAAATTCAGGTGTTTAATACCAAGGTGAGGCTCCAGGATCAGGAAGAGGTGCTGCATGCCCTACCCTGATGGCCAGTTTGGATGAGCAGGGAACCAGGGTAGCCCTGCCATACAATTTTACTTCAGGACTTAATGCCAGGTCTTCTGTTGGCAGAAATCTGTCAGCACAAACAGTTGGTTCTTGTTAACACTGAAGTGCTTTAAGTCAGCTAAACTTTTAGCTCCTTCTAAATAATCCTTATTATCTTCTCTGTGTCCACTGGTTTTTTTGGGTTTTTTTTCAGTCTTTGTGCAGTGGTAGTCCTTAATTTTGGTTTAGTCTTCTGTACTGCTAACAGTGTCATTGCATAGGTTTGTACTTGTACTTAAACATGGAGATCATGAGCAGTTGTAATTTTATTGATAGGTATACACACGCAAAATCCCTAACCTAAGAGTGTTTTATTATTTATTTGTGTAATGTTTAATGCTTCCAGAAGAGGCAAAAGATAAACATCATTTAACCCAGGCACAGAAAGAAAAAGCAGTTTTTACAGACATCCATCCCCCTACCCACCTTTTTCAGACTTAGATTTTAACTAGGCAGACAGAACAGAAAGGTTCAGCCACAAGTACAGAAGAACAGTGATATGAGAAGGTAAGATAAGATAGCTCTGGCTGGGGTGAGAAAAAACACTCTTATCCAGTGGCTGAGCAAATGCCTTAAGTTTGCTAAAGTAACATAATAGAATAGCATCGCTAGAAATTGTTCAGAGAGGTATGTTGTAAACATCAAATAAGTATAATTACCTATTTTAGGTTGAAGTGTAAAATGTTCTGAGCTAACAAATTTAAGGAAGTCTTCAATAATGTTTGAGTCTTAACACCAATGAAATTATGAGAAAACAGAATATTCCCCCATTCTAAGTCAACACCCACCCCAGTCACTGCCTACAATTATGTTCTAGTCCCTTTCTGTTTGAGTAAAACATAAGCCTTGGTCTAACCAGGATTGATCTCAGCACTGGGCAGGGGCAGGAACCAGCAACTGCCCTGCCTTGCATTTGACTAAACATGTACAACCACAGTAATTCAGCTTCCACAGTGGATCTGCCCTCCTAAGACTGCAAGGTCGTTATAAACAGCCATACCTGAGAACAAAGGTGCAGCTTTAAAAAAAGAAAAGAAGCTGAAGTTTAAGAACTGAACTTGAGAATCAGTAACTTCTGTCTAATTAAAAGATAACCAAAAGAGATGTAGTAGTGGAAGCTTGAAAAGGGTGTCTGTTTGTTTCCCTAAATGTAATACTATTATCTCAATTTATCCTTAAAAGCAGCACAGAATGAAGCACAGAAAGCAGAACTTGTGGTCATGCCACTTGTGTGTTATTGTTGTTACTGCCAAAATCCCAATACTCAAATTCAGTTTGGGGTTTTCTTTTTAGTAAGAGCTAAGGTCATATTGGAACCTAATGTGTTTGAGGTAAGGAAAGAAGAAAAGGTATCAACACACAGATTTGGTATAATACTAAGAAAACGAAGAAATCAAAGTGACAACAAAAGCAGGACTAATAGCAATCTTCAGGTGAAATGACCCAAGTAAAGCAATGTTTATCAGATGAAAATACAATTTAAATTCTTCAAATCAAGCGTGTTGCTTATTTAGCCTGGATGCAGATGCTTTTCTCAGGTGAATTGTGTTATGTTGATAATTCATTAGTAAGTTGTACTAACGAAAACAAGATATGTCTGCATTTTATGCAACTAAAATGCTTGAACCACTGCTTTCAGCCTTCATCCTAAGAAAATTACACTTGCCCATCCTGATAATGCGTTATATGAGCTGCTAAAGTTTCTAACAGTGAGGCCACTAGGCATTGTTGACTAAGAACTTTGGACAATTTTATTATCATACAGTTGAGCTGTGTAGCATGGTTTCACACAATCTTTAGCTGCACAAGGAATATAACACTTGGCGCTAGTTGAACACCAGATGTTAGGCTGGGTCACTGCAGAGCTGAAGTCAAGTCTCCCACCACCTGCCTGCAACCCTATTTTGGATTAAGAACATCTGCAGTCGCTACAGCTCCCTATGCATGACACTGGCTAGCAGTAGTGTTGACAGGATGGCCCAGGCAGCCCTACTTCCAAGCCACTTCCTAAGGGTCTTTACGTGGAATAGGGCTCTTACAGGGCTGCACAGCTGTGACAGGGAATTCCTCTTCACTTTACTTTGGTGCCACTTCCCTGCAATCACCATTCAGGACCGCAGGTACATTTAAAAAGTGTCCTGGTAGGTATGCTTTGAACTGCCACAGCCTGAAGAGAGAGTGTTATGTCTTCCATGCATATATACATTTATGCTGTTAGTGCATTGTTCAGTACTGGTGATGTCACCACCACTACTTCTGGCTGCATTTGCAAAGAGCGAGACCCGATCAGCTCTTGAAGTATGTAGGTGCCCAAGCCCCAGGAGAACGGCCTGGCCTAGGAAATACAAGTGGCACAAGACATCTCATGTGGTAAAACATGCAAGGTTCTAGGTCTAGTGAGGCTTGATGGGCTAGTATTCATTATTTGCTGTTTATGCATCAATTTTGAATTACTGTTCCAAGATGCCCAGCCTCCCCCTGTATTCTCTTAGATACCCAGGTGTGTGACTGCAGGCTCAAGATGCTCGCTTTGGGACTACAGGCCTTCATTATAAGTAGTGCAATGCTGGACTTAACAGACATCAACATCCTCTGCTGCCCTTAGCCTCGAGTCTTGTTTGGTGTGAAACTCCGTGCAGCTCCTACCATACATAGATGCTGTCATGTTATTACCTTTAATGCTTTCTGAAGGAGTAGTACTGTATCTTAAGGATAATCAAATAGAAAAAAGATTAAAAGTGATAAATATTCCAGTAGCTGTATTTCACTAGCCACTTTGTCGTAAATAAACAGCTTAATGTAACATGATTTGAAATGACTTATTTCAAGTGGGCTAGCTCAATGGACAGTTTGACTTCTTAGTCAACTCTGACTAAAATACAAACTAACACAAATGTGTAAAAAGATGTCAGAAGTAGGACCAGAACCCAGGTCTGGAGTTTCTACCACTGATTCATAAAAACACTTCCTTTGTTCAAGTAAAAAGTTTCTCTTTACATGCAACCAAAATTATCTGCATAAATGTCCAGGTAATTTAAACTGGCATATCCACATATTCCCATTACAAAGCAATAAAAAAGTGTTCTCAACTTTCAAGGCAAAGTTTTCATGATATAGACTCATTATTACAATGTACAATAGTGATGATTTTGACACTGTTTTCTACTTACTAGATTAAAAAGCATTAATCTGCTGTTCTTCACAGACATCCTACATTACAACAGGAAGTCATTAGTCATTGGACAAGACTACCCAATTTTGGTTTTTCATGTTTTCCAGTGTAACTGCTGAAACATTAAGATAAAAACTGTCTCTGAACACCTTCCAGAATGAAAGGGTAGCCTCGAAATTATGCACCCCATACAAACTGCTAACAAATAAAGGGTTAAACTTAGAAGTGCTGAATGCCCTGATTGCTACTGAGACTAGCAGGACAAAACCAGGTGCAGGTTTGCTGTCAGCAGCTGCAATCCTAAGGTGCATACCACAGATGCACTACGAATATTTTCTGTTGTTTTCCAAGCTACAATACAGTGCACAGATGAGACAGTATGAAACAAGTATTACATGATTCTGAGTTTGCATCTAATATTTACAGCAATCTTACAAAGCTTAATGTTTGTAGAAACTGAAATTTTTGCAATGAGAACAATGCAGTAAAAGGTAATGGCAAACGCTGTTTACCTTCCCTAGATACTCTGTTTTTCTCTGTACTGTTCAGTTATGTCTTGGTAGCATCAAAGACAGATGATTCAGTGTTAAGTAGCATCTTGTCCTGCTTAGGAGTGAAATGTTCTGGTTTCTTTGAGCTTCTAACTACTTCGACAGAGTAGAAATCTCTTCTGTTCGCATAGCATCAGACAGGAAACTAAGTTCATTGCACAGTGTCTCGTACCTGAAGGCCATCCGGATCTGCGCAACATTCGTCTTTCGAATGTCATTTCCCTCAGGCCCTTCTTTACAGTAATTCACCCCTAAGAATTTCTGTTTTTCCTGTGAACAGGATTAAACGTAAAAAGGAAGAAGTCAGTTCAACTGCTTTGATTTATTGTGTAGCTGACTATTTGTTAGTTGAATAACCCCAGTGCAAATGAAAAGAGCAGGTTCAACCAGCTGGAAAGTTTTACGTATGTAAGTACTCAGCAGTGCACTCAATCTGCCTTGCTAAACCCTTTGTGCTAGTATTCAGTCTTCACCGCTACATCTTTCAGGTGAGAGGTCAAAAAGAGGCGTAGGTTACTTAAGTGTTCCACAAGAGGAAAATTAGTAATTGTCACTAGATAATATTGGAAGAAACAAGAGAAGATACTCAAAGCCCCTTCACATACCAGCTCCTTGAGAGGCATGTTTAAAAGTGACATGGAAGAGAGGATGCTCTAAAATAAGTCCCCGAGAAAGCTATGGATGTATAGAATTCTAAAGCCAAAAGGGAATCTAATCTATCTAAACCACAGTATTTTCTGTAGTACTCCCTTCTAAGCAAAAACATGTCTTGCATATGACAGGCGGTTGGTTTTTACTCAACGCAAGACACGATGTATAAAATTATTGGCAAAGGGATATCACCCAAATAATTAAAGGTTTGGGACTGGAGGCAGAACTGAATATAAACAGGCACCTGGTCTCTCTGTATGTTCTAGGAATTCCAAAACAAAGCTAATGAGGAAAAATGTCACATCAATACTGTTTTTAATGTAAGACTGCATAGCAGATAGTTTGTGACTATTTCTGGAAAACGGGATAGGGATGTGCACAAATACATCACATAAGCAGCTACTATTCCATTTTCAGACTACTGACTTCTCAGTTCCTACTTCCCTAATACTCATGAAAGATTTTCTTCAGCCATATTTACCTTGTCTGACAGGCCACTCTGTAGTACGCTGTTTCTTGCTATTTCACACAAGTCACAGGTACTCAGTTTCCAGACCTGGGCTGCAATAGCGTATTCTTCCATGAGAGCTTCCTGTGTCACCAGAACATGTTTAATATTAATTTATATGTAAATAAAATGTAAATTGAGATATGTACTCATTACTAAGTAAGGAATTTATACATGCTCTTTAGATAGCTGTGAAAAATTAGAGGTTTAAGACTTTAACACCACAATTACTAACGAACAGAATTGTTTATTTCAGGTTTCTCAAGGGCGACTGTTAGACTGAGATAACTGGATGGATAGCCAGTGCCTATTGTTTAAGAAATTGCAGCCTGCAGTCCAGATCCTTAGTGGCATTTATTAGGCCATTTAAAATGAGATCCCAGGGTGTACAAAGACCTTGGAGGATGTAGTCGTACATCTTTAACGACTACATACATAGACAGGTAGCAGGGCAATTTCTCACTTCTGACCTTCTGCACAAGGCTGGGTCTGACTCTATGGGCTGTCACAGCTGAGGATCTTCCGCACTACGTGTAACTCAGCTGGTGCTGTGTTACAGCCGTGCAGAAAGCCCCCCCAGAAGCTCTCTGTCTTTTCTAGCAGAGACATGTCATGGGTCAGAAGCAAGCCTGGGTGAAGCACACCAGAGCTCAGCTTGGCCTCAGAACACAGACAGCTGAGCAATGTACAGGCCACTCTAAGGCACAGCGTGACTCAAGTCAGTGCCAACCACAAAATTGGGGCATCAAAACCAGTGACTGGGCATTTCTGTCCTGCCAGGCCACCCAAGGGCAAGAATCGGGCTTGGTTCACTGAGCAAACAGCTCATACATCATCTTCAGAGATTCCACATCGTGGTTTTGTAATGTACTTCCCCAGATTTGTTAGTAAGGAAACTGGACTTTCCTGGCACTCTAGAGGATTGTTTATGAAGGCTCAAACCTCCCTTCAGCCTCATCCTTCATTCTATACTTCAACAGCCAACACTGGAGAGGCAAGAGTACAAAAGAAACATAATTAGGAAATCAGACATTTCCCTCCAAAACCTAACAGTGAGTCGTAGACTGAGAATGAGGAAGAATAATGAATGAAGTGACTGAAAGACATGAAACTTTATATCCTAAGCAATGATATAAAATCGCTTTCAGGTCATTCTGGGCCTGTGTGGTACTGTTGCCAAACTCAAAGACAAGTGCTTTTTGCAATTCTTACCTTTGTATAATGAAATTGCATAGGATCATCTGTGGAGAGAGAGACTTTAAGTCCCTTATGTAGGAATTCCCGAAGTGGATTTTTTGAGTACTCCAGGAATAGGCTGTTGTTACTAAGTGGAGACATAGCAATGGGTATTTGTGCAAGATAATAAAGATACTGGAGGACAGGACTCTGCAAAAACAAAACACAACCAGAATTTAATGGTACTATGGGATAATGAAAAAAAGAAGCATTTCCCTTGGATAAAATGGAAACAGCATTACAGAGGGAAGACTATGACCAAAAAAAATTTAGGTTGACACTAAACTCTGACTTCAGACTTTTAAATATTTTCTAAAGAATTCTTGATCTTTATAAAAATATTTTTTGTTCTTCAACATATGTCATCATCTTTTTAAAAATATGGTGATTAATATTACTGTAGATTAGCAAGTATATATGACTATTAAGGGCACTGCATTTGATTCTAAGCACATACCATCCCCCAAAACCACATAACAGATGTGCAAGAACCACTAAGCAATTTGTTATTTTCAAAACTGCAGTCCCATAGGTAAGTTTTAGGAGCAGAAGTTTTAATTTATTAGAAGTCATGTGTTGCTGTTGCATGTAATATAAATAATCTGTCGTCACCTCATCTTTATTGCTATTTTTGGCTTAACAGACCTGTGAACCTAACAAGTGCCTTTGTTACTATTATCTGCTATGCCAGGATACCGTACCAGGCTAAGCAGGAGGAAGTGAAGAGGAGAATGCTTTGGTCACAGACAGCCTTAGTACTACTCTGTCTGGGTCTAATTTTAGGAGTTACTGGTTCTAAGCATAACATCAGACATGATTTTAGGCAAATTGTTCTTGGCTATATTGAGAAATAGAGAGAATTTTCCAGTGTTAAGCAGAAAATCCAACTTACAAGGGAACTCTCAAAATTACAATAAACTCAGTACAAGTCTGCCACCCACTGACCAAGTATTTTAATTACAAAATAGCGGCCTGGGGATGAGTTGTGTGATGGTTTTTATTAACTGATACACCAGGAATGATAATGTTTGTCCTGTCATAACAATCAAGTTGTATATAAAATATTTCTGCGTTATACAGCTATGTTAGATTTCTTGATCAAGTGATCCCAGTTACTGTAGATATAAATAATCAAAGCCTTCATGAACTTCTGAATGAACCTTGAAGTACAGGGATGTCAGTCAGGGAAAATGCCCTTTGTCCCTGTACAGAAGAAACTGGAGCTTTCCTGAATTCTTCTGGGACCTAAACCAGGGAGTAGTAACAAGTCTAAGCAGGTTTTTTCCATGTGATTTTAGCTCTGCTTGGAGGAACCAAAACAGGTGCCACCACGTCCTTGGCATATCTGAACAGCTGATCTTCCATATAAAGACATAGCTTTAAAATATTGACTTAGGAAAAGCTGTATTTTTGTAGCTTAAATAAGAAACAGGAAGTTCATCTGAGTTTGTTTATGTCTGATCAGAGTGAAGAGTTACTTGTGCCTTGTTAAGAAAATTAATTTTGGGCTGCCCAGCTAAAATCAGTTTGGTGACTGCTGTTTGAAGCAGTGACTGATGTCTAGGAGATAGCGATTGGTTTAGGTGAGCAGCCAAGCAATACCTTCTTCAAGAGCAATCCGTGGGAAATGTTGTCTGCTGTCAGAAAGGCTGATACAAGGTGTGTGATAGACCCAGCTTCTCCACAGTGAGGTCGAAACAGAAAAGTGCACATGCCTCT